CCTAGTTCACATAAACAGGAGCTGGAGAAAGGGAGACCTTACCCCTTAGGCAAATTAGAGTAGATTGAGCATAAGTGGGAAATGAGAGCACTTTGTTACCTCTGTGTTTTTAAAACTTCTCATTTTGTTTGGGAATTGTTAATGGCTTATAGGATAAATTCCCTAGATGCAACCTTGTATAAAGGTAGCATCTGTATGTATGAGGCAAGGATGCCTATTTCCTGGGGTGGGGAGGAGGAATCTTGACTGTTAGAAAGACAAAAAGGAAAATAAACACAGCACAAATGGTTTATACACTAGTGACTAGGGTAAGATCATAGAGAAAGCACGTGTATGATTACAACCACCCCCTGGCATAAGATACTAGCACATTTTACCTGGGCTATTATCAGGAAAGCAATAGTAAGAGATACTGTCAATATTATCTCTTACCTGATACTGGTATTATAACTCTCCTGTCTTCTTCCAGTGGCATTACCAATATTTTCTTTCTTTTTTTTTTTTTAACCAATATTTTCTTTACCTGTTTTTCCCCTACTTAAAACCTTCTGATGGCTTTTTGTCACATTTATGCTAGATCTTAAAGTCCTTGATTTTACCCTGACACTATCATACATGACAAGACCCCTACCTACCGATAGATTTCAACCCCGTCTCGTACCTCAGCTATTGAATCTTCCCTCCTGCAACTCTCCAGCCACAACTGCCTGTTGGTTTCTCTAACAAGCCAGAGTGTCTCTATTTTAGGACCCCTGCATGAGCTTTTCCCTCTGTCTGAATTATACTGCCTCCTGATCTGCAAATGGTGACCCCTGCTTGTCATTCAAATTTGAAATTAAATGGCACCACCCTAGAAACAACATTCCTGGGTCACACAGGCAAAAGAGGCCCCTCGGGCTCTATCACACTAACTTTTAACCTCTTCAAAAAGCATATTCCTATCTGATATTTTTCTTGTGTGTGTGGGTTTTTTTTTTTTTTTTTTTTTTTTACTGGATGTAAGACACTCTAGAGCTTCTGGAACCTTGCCTTTTGTATTCATTACTGTATACCCAGTGCCTTGAAATGTAGATGGTATTTTGAGGCACTCCACTAATATTTATTAGTATTAGCATTCATGTGTATATAGATAGATGCAGATATAGATACATACATAGATGTAGATACAGATACCTACATACATACATAGCTGTTACATTCATAGTCACTCAGTCACTTTCGACTCTTTGCAACCCCATGGATTGTAGTTAGCCCACCAGGCTCCTCTGCCCATGGAATTTTTTCAGGCAAGAATACTGGAGTGGGCTGCCATTTCCTACTCCAGGGGACCTTCCTGACCCAGGGATCAAACCCTCTGACTCAAGAATTCAACCCAAGTCTCTGTGTCTCCTGCACTGGCAGGTGAATTCTTTACCATGAGTGACACCTGGGAAACCTGATATATACAGTAATATATCCCAATGAATATATATAAAATAGAATTTGATTATCATACATAGACATGCTTAGATGAAACTAAAAATTGACAAATATAAATATTCATAGATTTTAGTTATCAGATTATCTGCATTCCCAGCCGTTTTATTTTTATTTATTTATTTTTACTTTTGTAATAAGACCAGATCATGGCATCTGGTCCCATTATTTTATGGCAAATAGATGGGGAAACAACGGAAACAGTGACAGACTTTATTGTCTTGGACTCCAAAATCATTGCAGATTGGTGACTGCAGCCATGAAATTAAAAGATGTTTGTTCCTTGGAAGAAAAGCTATGATCAACCTAGACAGTGTTTTGAAAAGCAGAGACATTACTTTGCCAACAAAGGTTCATCTAGTCAAAGCTATGGTTTTTCCAGCAGTTATGTATGGATGTGAGAGTTGGACTATAAAGAAAGCTGCGTGCCAAAGAATTGATGCTTTTGAACTGCGGTGTTGGGGAAGACTATTGAGTCCCTTGGACAGCAAGGAGATCCAACCAGTCCATCCTAAAGGAAATCAGTCCTGAATATTCATTGGAAGGACTGATGCTAAAGCTGAACCTCCAATCCTTCGGCCACCTGATGGGAAGAACTGACTCATTGGAAAAGACCCTGACACTGGGAAAGATTGAAGGTGGGAGGAGAATGGGATAACAGAGGATGAGACGGCTTGTTGGCATCACCAACTCGAGGGACAGGCATTTGAGCAAACTCCAGGCATTGGTAATGGACAGTGAAGCCTGGCATGCTGCAGTCCATGGGGTCACAAAGAGTTGGATATGAATGAGTGACTGAACTGAACTGACTGAATAAGATAACAACTTAAGAATTCTAGCTGGCATTGGTTACATCTCATCTACCTAGACAAACCTTTATTATCATTATCTCTTCCTAAATCTATGCTTAGGCAGTGAAAATGGATTTTGACTATATTTATCCATACCCTTTCTTTCTTTGGAGGAGCAAACTGAAAGGTGTGGTATAATCCATTTTTGATTGTTATCCGTCTACTATGCTCTCCTACTCCTAAGTAATCATATGATTGGAAATAACAGATAATGCTCCAAATTGAAGCTAATCATCAACATGGCTATGAAAGTATAAACTGAACAGGTAGCAATGTACTAGAGGATTAAAATGAACCTAAAATTATTTTTTTTAATATTGACAATATCCTATTGTGATAATCAGCTTTTTGTTTCCTCTAAAAAAATCTATCAAAATTCAGGTCCAGGATAGTTTGCATAATGGCTAATCACCTTTAGAATTTTATGCATGAAAATCCACAAAGTTAGTGAATGTGGTATGTAAGACTATTATTTACAAACTTACAAGAGATTTCTGAATTTGCTTGTCTTAAATAATACTTTGTGTATGTGTACCTCAACAAATTGTCCAGACTAGTTGATATGCTACAAGCATTGACACATTAGTGTCTCATTTTAAAAACTATGTTTTAGCAAAAGCTATGCCAGCTAAGAGGCTGCCCTTATCTTCTTGTTAATCATTCTAAAAGCTTAAATACCAACCTTCTCTAAGGACAAACTATTTTTATGTCAATCTTAGCTTAGTAATATTGCCATTTTAGGTTTCTCATCCTCCAGTGGGATGGGTGTGAGCAAATTACACACACACGTGTGTGTGTACATGGTCTCATCCATGTACGTATGTGTGCTGTCATTCATCATTTAATTGTAGATACCTCTTTAACAAGGTATTGTTTAAAACAATTAACCAATTTTTAAATGGTATAATAGCAGATTAAAAACTTGGGGTTTTAATTGTAGGCTGAATCCACCTTTTCTCCACTCAGTCTGAAGATACAATTAATTGTATGAATAATTAATCCCATATTGTTAGCCCTATTGAAAAAAGAGAAAGGAACAAGAACGTATTTAGCCTTCAGAAGAAGATGGGAAAACAGAAAGCACGAAGGAAAAGACAGTGGTACCACTATGGGATATGCAGTAAAGCAGGAGCTGGGATTTTAGAAACTTGCAAATTTTACCTGAGGTTACTCTGTTTAAGTTGCACAAATGGGTGCAAACCAAAGCCGTGATCTGAAGAATGCTGGCATATGACCACAAGTAGGAGGCTCTCTATCTTATGATCTGTGATGAAAAATGGGTGGCTTAAACTAGTTTAAGCCTTGGGCATGGGCAGAAAGTGAAAGTGAAAGTCCCTCAGTTGTGTCTGACTCCCTGTGACTCTAGGCTAGAATACTGGAGTGGGTAGCCTTTCCCTTCTCCAGGGGATCTTCCCAACCCCAGGGATCGAACCCAGGTCTCCTGTATTGCAGGCAGATTCTCTACCATCTGAGCCACAAGAAAAGCCCAAGAATACCAGAGTGGGTAGCCTATCCCTTCTCCAGTGGATCTTCCTGACACAGGAATTGAACTGGGGTCTTCCGCATTGCAGGCAGATTCTTTACCAACTGAACTATCAGGGAAGCCCAGGCATGGGTGGGAGTAGAGTTAATAGTTATAATACAGCCATTATACTTCTCACCTCTAGAATTTGTTGCAATACTCCAAATGATCACAGCTGGGGAAAACGTCAATATGTATAGACCAGTATCTCCTGGCTGTGAATACCAATATTTGTGAAAACTCTATCTTATATATGCTTTATTTATTTGTTCAAAATACATGAGCTTAAAAATGTGCTTTTCCCCTCCCTATTATCACACTATAATTTAGTACTATAATAACAATCCTCCCAGCATACCCAATGAGTTTCTTTGGTCCTCTTTTAAAGGATTTAATCTTCATAAATAATAGCTAAGTAAACTTAAGACACTTGGACAATTTCTTTAACTTAATGTATTCAAATCCACAGTTGGCACTTCATTTCTTTTCATTTAAAAATAAATCAACTTGTCTCAATAAGCTCTACATGAATACACACACCTAACAAAATAAATCAAAGCAGCACATCTAAAACGATGAGATCCACTTGTTACCTTTACAAGAAATAAACCATTTTCAAAAATGTCTCAACATTTTTTTATTAAGTCAATATATACTTTAAGATAATTCACATGCAAGTACTTGAAGAAGGATTTCCAGATACAGATGAGAAACTTTTTTCAAGAGGATTTCCATAAACATGTGAAAAACTGTTAAATATTTCAAGAGCTTTTCCTTCAGAAGAGAAGTTTCCTGTCAACTGTACCTAATATGTGATTTTATGTGCATGATTTCCTGTGCAAACTTACATGCCGTCTATATTCACATTTTAATTTTAGGGGAAAGCTTGGAAAATATTAACTATAACAACAAATTCAGCGACTTTTAAAGTATAGTTCTATAGATAGTGGTCTTTCTCTCCAATAGCTCCACTTCAATTACAAAAGTGAAACCCACAATGTAATGGACATGAAAACCTAACCAAAATGCCCCTGAAGAAGAGATGCGTACTTCAGGAAAAAACTGAGAATCCTAACTTGAGCAAAGGACTGCATCAAGACACTATTAAGACTCCCAAACTTGCTATTTATAGAAATTAAAAACAGACTTACTTGCTTTGTTTTTCCATGCTAGCTACCCTGAGGCATTCCCATCTTGAATTTAGAAGATTCATTTGTTCTTGGACTTCAGTTTCTTCATCTTCTGATAATTTCCCTGACCCAATCAGCTGACTCCCCAATTGGAGAACATTGCCAACCCGTCCCTGATGGGATGTCAAATCCATCATGTATCCCTGACAAAGAAAGAAGGTGATAAGAGTTGACATATTATGGAAATCATTATGGTTTTGAATCTCTCATTTTTTTGCAATTTTAAATTTGTAGCCCAGTTAAAGTTTATTCCCAGTAAAAGTAAATCCAATACTATTTATAATATGAATTAATGGATACTAGTAGCTTAGGTCACCTTCTGAAGAAGCAGAGCCTGAGACCAGGACTTATATGCTAGTGATTTATCAAGAAAGAGATCCCTGGGGAGATTTGCAAGGGAGCAGAAGCAACAGGAAACAGGAAACGGAAGGGGAGGAGGCCAAGTAAGTGCGTCATCCCAGGAAAAATCTCCGACTGAGGGGGCAGTGCAGCCTGATATCCCCTAGGTACTCTGGAGTGTAAGTTCTATCTCAGCATTGACCTTGACCCAAGACAAAGGGACTGGCCTTTCATATTCCTATAGGAGCCACTGGCGAAATCAAGTCTCAGCACCTTCAGAGTGTTATTCTCCAAAGGAAAACTTCCAAAGCTGCCTACTGGAAAGCCAAATGCATGAACATTTATCTTGCTTCCATCTCAAAACAAACACTAAATTACCAGAATACAAGGATCTTATAGAGTAACTGAGGAAAATAGAGGGAATGATCATTATGTCATCTGCCCTATTTCATTAATTGATGTTTTGCTTTTACCTCGTGAGTATGAAACTGTTCTTTCACTTCTTCTACATCATTAGAAATCTCTCCTTGTGCTTGCAATGTGTCCTCGGCTGAAAGGAGCCACGAGAGTACTTCTTCTAAAGCTGTCTGGTAACTGTCCAGGTTTACTTCAGTCTCCATCAATGGACTGCCAAATGACTTGTCTTCAGGAGCTTCCAAACGCTGAACAATAAAACAAATTGGGTGTTATATAATTAGTATCTTTGCAGGCTGTTCCAATACATTAAATGATAAATCGAATGAAATATTTAAAATGCTAGAAACGTCCACTTGCATTATTAGAGACATGAACAGCAGACATACACAATAATGAGCCTGCATTTTAACATCCTCACAAATACATACACAGATTCTCAAATGGCCATTGGAATCCACTTCAAATTAATATTTGATTAAAATTCTCTGGATTACTATAAGGAGTGATTTGGTACATTATCTCTTAATGTTAAATGCCACAGATTTTCATCCATAGGCAAACTTTTTAATTCACATTTTGAGTCCTCTATATATACATTATTGGTATTATATTTATGTAATTTTCACAATGATGGTAAAGGAAACATCTCTTCCTAAGAGCTCCTAATGAAATATTTCTGAAAGTCTCCAGACCAGAAAAGTTATCAATAAGAAAATAAGTGAGGGAAAGGTATAATTAAAAAAAAATACTTCATTCATACATCTGAAACTTCTAAAGGTAGAATGACTTCTATGAATTAAGCCTTTATTTCCAGAAGGTCATGGTTTAAATAATAAGACATTATCTTAGGCAAAGCAAAATATAAAGTATTTGCTATCAAATTTATTTAGCAGGATGTCAGCTGAGATTCTCAACAGTTGTAATTTCTCCTGGGATCCTAAAGCTGAAAACCCTGGTTACAAAGTGTTCATAATTCTGAAGCTAAGATCCAGGCCACCTATGAAGGAATTGCTAAGAAGGGACCACAAAACTGTCCTACCCTCCTTCATCTACTACCAAACTCTAAGGTATATAAGAGGAAGCAAGGAGACTGACTGAAGAAATCTGGTGAGAAAGGATTCCTCTGGAGAGCAATGCATGTCTATACCTTCCGCCACCTCTAGCCAAGCAATGGAGACCTTAAGAGATCTATAGAGCACACGGTATTTGACAGAATGGAATAGTGACCTCTAAACCTGGCTGTGTGCTTGCGCAGATTGAGGAGCTATGGAACCAGTACTACCAAGTGATAGGAGACAGCTCTTGGGATAACCTATGTACCTGCTGCTTTAACCTTAAGGCACTTATCAATATTAAAAAATCAGAACAAATAGGAGCATCTGCATAAATTTTTCTTTAGGTCAAGCACATGCATGGTAGGTGGTTGGGCTTTAGAAATCCTGAGGAGGACCACACTCAAGAGGGTTTCCTGCTGAGGTAAGGGACAAAGGCAAATAAAGTAGTCAGGGCAAAAACACTGGAAAAATACTTGGAGAGGAATCTTCTGAACACCCTATAGATAGCAAGCAAGCACTGGGCCCTGACAAATGGGATTTTGCAAAGGAAACAAATGGCAGTGTAGAACCACAAGAAGCTACTTGTGGGGGGAGGGAGGTCATGATCTTGCCTAGAGAAAATGCTTCCTTCTGATGGTTCTTCTCTGCCATGTCTGCCTTGAATTTCTAGTCCCTAGCAATTCTGGGCCTTTTCCCACTGAGCTGCCAGCACCAATTTAATTGTGCTCTTCTGATAAATGCTCCCATTTTGAAACTTTAATATGATAAATTTCTTGAACTATTAAATCCTTTAGGATGAAAAAGCATAGAGGCAGTCTTTGGTGTAATATTTTCATCAAAGGATGCATTCTGTATCTGTTTCTAGAGAACTGGCACAATATGTCAGCCTGTTAAGTCAAAATTATCCAACTTCAGGATCTCAAACAGAATATAAGTGTCACAAGAGAGGTAGTCGCATGGGCCCTCCCCAAGGTCAAGGCAAGTTCTGGAGGTCTTAGGGGTTAGAACAACCTCCATGATGTATTCCTTCCCTCTACCCCCAAATAATATAAATAATAAATTAAAAGTCATCAGTAGGAGGAAAAAAGTCACAAAAGATAGCCTGGGAAATGTGTGTAGACAGAAATAGCCTCATGGTTGGAAGACCTGAGCAGTTTTACAATGTTCAAATGATCCCTTGCTTGTTTCATCTGCTTCTTGACATTGCTGCCTTAAAATTCTTAATAATTCTATCCTTGAACTTGGGCTTTCTAAGTTCAGTGAAGTGATAAAGTATGCATATGAGCAGAGGAGACAGGTACATTATGTGTGTCTTCCCTATTTGCATATAGTGTTTCTGGTGTCCTGTGAGCCTAGAATTCTGGTGGACCCACGATATGTGGGAGCTGAGCAGACTCCCATTGAGTGCAAATGTCTATGACTGAATGAGGGATGGCATTGACAGCCTCAGGAAATCATGGTTTCTGTTTGAACCAAAACTATCTTCCAATGCAGAAAGAAAGCAATGCTAAAAAACCAAAAACAACCAATGAACCCAATCATATCCTTTCACACTCATATTTCTTTCCTGCGTTAGCCAACCATTTATGCTACAACCAATGACAGAGAAAGAAAGGGAAAGATAAGGCAAGATGATTCCTTTCCTTTCAACTCCTTCCTTACTTATCAGTAAGATGAAGGCAAGGAACATAAGTAGAAAGTGCACCTATCAAGGAGTGAAATAAACACATCTGAGTTAGTTGTACAACGTTTTCACGTTAAGAATGAAATACAGATGCATATATAAGCTCTGAAATACAAATTGTGCAATGCTGGTGATTCCGCTTAAGTTAAATGATCTTATATTTGCATTTACAACTGCAATTGCACGATGTAACAATGGGCAGTAAAACTCATGCTAATACTTTAAAATTTAATTTTCTTTACTCAGTATGATGTTGAATAGCAAATAAAAAACACAATGGCAAGTTGAGAGAAAGACCATAGAATAAAGGAAACAGCTTTATATTTTGGTCATTTGAACAGCACTTTCCTTCCTGCTTTTTTGAACAAGGGGCTCCAAATTTTATTTTTCACTGCACTATACAAATCAGTAGCCCTGGGTGTAGGTGGGGGAAAAGTACAATCAAATCCTGGATAGTGTGTCTTCCCTGGGTTATAGGTGAGAAGAGACAGAACATTTATTATGAATAGTAGAAAGTGGTTATAAAACCCAAGGACTCTGGAAGTCAATCAGTTTTTGGATCTTGACTTGCAGCTGAGGTCTTGTCACCCTGGTAGTTACTTAACTGCATCATTAGCCTTAGCTTCCTCCTATGTAAAATGAGAACAACAATATAATACTTTCCTAAGACTGCTGTAAGAATTAAAGGAGAGTATATAAAGTGTTTGGCAGAATGCCTGAACCTGCGTAAGAACCCAATACAGTAGCTGATAGCTCTAATTATTATTAGATTCTTCTACACATAAGAACCATTTGGAAACACAGCCTTCTCCAAGGTTACCTTCTTGAATCACTGTTCAAATTTCAAGGGCCAGAAAATTCCTATTTAAAAAATGACCCAGGAAACATCTAAGAGTAAACATCAATTAAATGAAACCTTTCTGAAACTGGAAACTCAACCTAGCTCCTATTTAAAAGTTCTAAAAATTATTAACAATCTTGAGTTCAAATAATCTTCTGCAAATGATAAATTGCAAACGACACTATTACTCAAGTAACACAACACTATATTTTACCATTGAACAATTTAGATTAAAAAAGTAAACACTTCATGATTTACTGATATTTACAGAGGCTTGAATTTTTGGAGAAAATTTTAGAAGGCAAATCTTTATACTCAAGGACATGCTGTCTAGCACTCATAAATTCTGAATCTAAAAGTTTTGTCTGAGGATATTCATAAAACAAAAACTTTGCAAAGACAGCCATATTAAAGCTAAATTCAAACAGATAAGCTGTGTGAAATTACACAAATAACTCATTATTTATATCCATAAATCAATTCTACATATATACTTGATTATGGTCAAAATTGTCAGTTAGGCTGTAAATAATTTTTTCTTTGTCTAGACCACTGTTTTTCAAATTTGTAAGCTGTGATCCATCAGTGATTTTTTAATCATTTCAGTGGGGATGACCAGGAATAGTCTATTTAATAATAAAAAGAATAAAAATACCAGTCTGTGTCATTTATGTTAAGGACTAGACTGTTGTGTGATTTTGTTTCAAGTATGCATATATATATATATATATATATATATGTCTATTAAATGTATATGTAAGCATGTTCTGCGTCATGATGAAAAAAATGTTTATAGTTCATGGAACAAAACTGGAAATTATTCTACAATTTCAGTACAAGTAAATCCCATGAAAGAAGAAATTTGCTGAATTCCACATTTGCACATTTGCAATAAAACCCTTGGAAGAACATCTTTACATTCATCTTTAAAACAGAATTTTGAAACAAACAAGGACACACAGAGAGGCTTGTGCTTTTGGTTTTAGTTTCTCAAAATATGTACTCATTGTCATACTGTTACATATTTGATCTTAGCCTGTGGCTAATTCATACATACTACAGTAAAGAATTTTTCTTTTTAGGAAGCTTGATCCTTGTTTTGTATTAAAAAAAAAAAAGAGTGATGTGTAAGAAAGAGATACCCATCATTTCATGAATGGAAGTGCCAGTATCATCAACTAGAACTAATTTCTTCCCTATGCTTTGATCTTATTTTAATTTCCATCTTTATAACAGTAGTTTATGTTTCTCTGCAGTACATTGGGCAAATAATGATTCAGATGAGAGGCATAACAATGAATGGATGAAACAATTCTACTTGTTTTCAAAATTAGGAACACTAAAATTTATTCAACATTATCCATATGCTCCAGAGGCTTAATTACTACCCTTTTGCATGAAGAATTACTAGATATTGTCAACTATGTTCCTTGAAGATGTTGCTAATGCATAAAGGTGAAGGAGTAGAGAGGGGAAAAGTAAAGTAATGAGGGAAGACAAATGGGTATATGTATTAGTCCTGCGATATCCAGGACAAATGTCTGGAAACTCATTTCCAGTGACAGAAATTGTCATAATAAAATGGAGAGGGATAGCCCTGAAACTACTCCAGACGTAGATTTTTTTTTTAAATCCAGTTTACTATCTATCTGACCTTGGGCAAGT